ATCAATTTTTGTGCTATAGTAATTTACTAGATTGCTTGTGAATTGCTGCAACAAGTTGCATGCAGGCTCGTCTGATACAAGTTTTTTCATATAAGTGTGGCATAAGAAAAAAACAGAGAAAAACAATGGGATTGTTTTGTCTCTTTATTTATAGGCTGTTGGAAAGCCTCCATTTTTTATATACATATGTGTAGAGTATACATGAATATATACATGTATAAAATTCAGTGAAGAGAGTGTACAACAAAAAGAGATAAAACAAATCGAATGATCTTTTTGACTGATCGCATCTTGAGCAGCACGGCGGTTCTCAATTTGTATAGATTTCATTAAAATGATGTAAACATATAAAATATAATAAAAAAATTTTAAACCGATTTTGCTTTATTTAATAAAAATTACCAAATAACTTTTTTATTTCTTTGTGATCAAAGTGGTGTCTTTCCGTAAAATCTAATTCATAAAGATTAGAGCCTTTACGAACATAAATATGAGTGTTATCAAATTCTAAAGCACATATACCTCCTCTATATTTGTCCATAGTATACGTCTAAAAATTTTTAAGACAATAATAATTTACTAATAAAGTACATGATACAAATAATTTAAAAATAAAATACAAACTTGAATGGCATCACTTTGTCTCTGATCCCATAGAACAATCTTAATATATCCCGTTACAAAAGTGTACCGTTTATCTGATGAGCAACACAATGATAAGCCATATTTTGAAGAATCCCATGTACGTACAACTTCGGATGTTCTGAAATCACAGTAGCAAATATAAAGAAATTAAATAGCTAATTAATATCAACAATAAGATTTATTACCTCATGTCCATTTTTTTAATAAAATGCTCAAAACACATGAGAATAGTTTGAGGATCCTCCCATAGTAGTTGCCGACAAGTACCTCCAAATTTTTTATCCATTACATGATAACTAAAATTGCTTTACATTAATATGTATATTTTATTCCAATAATACATAAAATCCTATGTTTTGTCCAGCGAAAGAATGGTCCACGGTTAAATCAAAAATTCGTCTGTTTCGTTCAAGTCTTTCCTCACGGAACGCTTAGAAAGCCCGCCATTCCACACAATTGTACTGATTGTGCAGCTTTCTAATGCCAGCGAGTGGCGCAACGCTCTTTCCACTTTGACTGCTATGCTTCTATGCGCAGACCGGGTTTTTTCTCTCGCTGGACAGAGTATAGCTTTATATACGGGCAAAATGTTTGTATCAGACTACACATTAAATATTGAAAATAAAAATTATAGATTGAAATTTGACCAATCAAGATAAAGAATTTTTGGCTTTTTTTGTATTGATTGGTTAAACTTCAATTTTTAATTTTCAATCTTCAATGCGTAATCTGATGCAGGCTTAACGACGGATCCTTCCACTATTTGAAAGAGAGAAAGATATATTTTTATTTTCTCTTATGCCCACGTTCTTCACTTATTATTGGATAGAAAATCAACAGTTTATACTTTATAGATATACAGACAGGCCAAAAAGTTTTTACGCTTAATTCGTAGGTATTGTACCGATTGTACACTTGGTCACAGAAATGCCTTAATATATGAACTTGAACGAGTGTGAAATTTCACAAGCAAAATTTAAATGTGCCTTGACACTCGTTGACAAATACATGTGTAAGGGTCTATCCAGACAAACTTGCATGATTGGTCCATAAGCAAATGCATAAAGAACTGGACCAATTAATTTTTTTTAAGCACATGTTTATGCGACTATGCAAGTTTGTCTGAATAGGCCCTAAGACATTCCTGTGTCTGGTGTGTACCTACTACGCCAAACACAGTCAAAAATTTCGAACTTAACTGTATGTGAAAAGACCATAGACATAGGAATAAGGAGACAGAGCATAAAATCTTACATTAGGCGAGAGGAGTGAAGCCAGTTCCGCGGTGCGGGAAATAGCAGTCACGTGATATTTTGGTGCCACATTGGGATTAGTTGTAGCATAAATGCGGCACCAAAGTACCATGTGACCGTAGTCCCCGCTCCTCGAAAGCGGCTTCACCCCTTGCGGCTTACACTCCGTCTCCTTATTCCTATGTCTATGGAAAGGACAGCAACACATGACATGTAGTTCTCTCCCGCAAGAAGCGATTCAGTGCCCATTCCCGTATATATAATTCAGTACTCACTAACAAGAAAGTTTTGATAACCCAAAAATTCTAAAAAATTTGAAATTTTGCAGAAAAATAATACATATAAATCTAATCAAAGAGCTATTTTTTGTTTTAAATAAAAAATAATTCTAGGGGTGGAAACACTCTTCAAAGAAATTCCGATTTTTCGAAAGATATTTCCCCCTCTAGAATTATTTTTTGCCAAAACAAGAAATAGCTTTTTGGTTAGGTTCATATATTATATTTCTGCAGTTTCAAATTTTTTAGAATTTTTGAGTTATTAAACCGTCCTTGTAAGTTATAATTAGAAATGTTATTAAATCGAATCATATAATAGTGTCTGAAAACATAGTCAATGTTTAAATCAACATTTGTAGAAATTGATCAATTAATTGAAATATCACTTACTTTTTTTCAATATCGTAAATTAGAAACGACGTTGATGATTGATTATAATCATAGAAACTAGCAGCAAATTTTGTTCCTATAGGGTCAAATGAGATTGAGTTTATATAAATTTGGTTGTCAAAACAATAGTCTTCAGGTTGTTCCACGTCGACTCCACAAAATATTTGCTTTTCTTCCGTACAACCATTTTTATCGTCTGTATATTTCAGTATCTACGCAAAAACAAACTTTTTACATACTACATTAAGATAGCATTATTGCAATTTTTCTTGAATCTTACCTTTATTAAATTGGAAGAACCAATTATAATGTGTTGTGATGTTGCGTCTATGAAATCAATTTTTTCATCTACATCATGTATTACTGAATATTTAAGATCATTTCTTATATCCTTTTGTGATTCAATTTTCCAGTGCTTAATAATACCATCTCTGCAAGAATTTTGTCAAAATTAAAAATGAAAAAAAACATAAAATACAGTATTTATAAATAAATACTTACACGTCGCCACTTATAATATAATCATCGCAATGAGCAATAGATTTAATAAAAGTGTAATTATCTCCCACAATTTTTTTATGTTTTTTAATAGTACCGTCCTTTGCGCGATTATAAGCAAGAAAATTACCATTTTCACAAAACCAAACCGTATTTTTAGTCATTTGTAGGCATTTATTAGTTGTCATAATGTACTCTACACATATTCCTTTTTTCTTCATATATATTACTTTCTTTATAACTTGCAGATATCCAGTTGCAATATGTAATAAATATAGAATCATATGAAGATAATAATGGTTTACACCTATAAAAAAAATAAGACATGTTTTTCAATATAATCTTATGTAAAATCGTGAATATTCTATATTCTGAAAATATGTAAACATTAAAATGTATTTTAAAAATATAATTAAAAAATTGAATAAAGTTTTGCATAATTAACAACAAGAGAAAAAGTTGTAACTTAACGCTAATATGTGAAAAAAGTTTTATCGACAAATATTGTATTAGATTTGAAAAAAAGTATGTTTATTAGAAACACTTTTCTATTAATTCTTTTAATTGGACAAATTTAAATCAATTTAAAAGTGATTAATGATATCATTGCATTGTCTCTGTCAATAAAAATGGAATATATACCTAGTTTTCATCGTCAAAACGTTGGTACGCGTATTAAGTTTGGTGCCCACTTTGATAGAAATATTTTTCTAAAAATATAACGA